CTGGGGGAAAGCCGACAGGTGTGAAGGAGCATGTGGTTTGGACAGAGACATCCCTTAGGGGAGGATCTATAAATGGAGATTCCCTATGTCCTAATAAGGAGAAGAGGATGGGGGATGATAAAATACAGGTAAGATCTGATGAGAAACAATCAAAAGAGAAAAAAAGTCCCATTCAATTAAATCATGTAATGGCAGACAGCTAATTGATTATATATTATATTGATATAATAGGCATCACAGAAACTTGGTGGAATGGGGATAATCAATGGGACACAGTAATACCAGGGTACAAAATATATTGGAAGGACAGTACAGGTCGTGCTGGTGGGGGAATGACACCACAGTATATGTGAAAAAGTGTAGAATCAAATGAAGTAAAAATCTTAAATGAACCAAACTGTACCATAGAATCTCTATGGATAGTAATTCCATGCTTGAATAATAAGAATATAGCAGTAGGGATATATTACCAACCACCTGACCAGGATGGTGATAGTGACTGAAATACTCAGGGAGATTAGAGAGGCTATTAAAATAAAAAACTCAATAGTAATGGGGATTTCAACTATCCCAATATTGACTGAGTACATATCACCTCAGGACGGGATGCAGAGATAAAGTTTCTTGACACCTTAAATGACTGTTTCTTGGAGCAGCTAGTCCTGGAACCCACAAGAGAAGAGGCAATTATTGATTTAGTCCTACGTGGAGCACAGGATCAGGTCCAAGAGGTGAAAATAGCTGGACCGCTTGGTAATAGTGACCATAATATAATTAAATTTAACATCCCTGTGGTGGGGAAAACACCACAGGAACCCAACACTGTAGCATTTAATTTCAGAAAGGGGAACTACACAAAAATGAGGAAGTTAGTTAAACAGAAATTAAAAGGTACAGCATCAAAAGTAAAATCCCTGCAAGCCCCATGGAAACTTTTTAAAGACACCATAATAGAGGCTCAACTTAAAGGTATACCCCAAATTAAAAAACATAGTAAGAGAACCAACCATGTTGTTTAACCACCATGGCTAAACAACAAAGTAAAAGAAGCAGTGAGAGGCAAAAAGGCCTCCTTTAAAAAGTAGAAGTTAAATCCTAAGGAGGAAAATAGAAAGGAATATAAATACTGGCAAATGAAGAGTAAACATATAAATGGGAAGGCCAAAAAAGTTTTGAAAAACACTAGCCAAAGACTCAAAGTAATAGCAAAAAAAATTTTTTTAAGTACATCAGAAGCAGGAAGCCTGCTAAACAACCAGTGGGGCCACTGGACAATTGAGATGCTAACGGAGCACTCAAGGATGATAAGGCCATTGCAGAGAAACTAAAAAAATTCTTTGCATCGGTCTTCACGGTTGAGGATGTAAGGGAGATTCCCAAATCTGAGCCATTCTTTTTAGGTGACAAATCTGAGGAACTGTCCCAGATTGAGGTGTCATTAGAGGTGGTTTTGGAACAAATTGATAAACTAAACAGTAATAAGTCACCAGGACCAGATAGTATTCACTCAAGAGTTCTGAAGGAACTCAGATGTGAAATTGCATGACTACTAACTGTCATCTGTAACCTATCATTTAAATCAGCTTTTGTACCAAATGACTGGAGGATAGCTAATGTGACGCCAATAATTAAAAAGGGCTCCAGAGGTGACCCCGGCAATTACAGGCCGGTAAGCCTGATTTCAGTACAGGGCAAACTGGTTGACAATTTTATTCTTTACTATAGTTTCAGACACATAGATGAACATAATTTGTTGGGGAATAGTCAACATGATTTTTGTAAAGCGAAATCATGCCTCACCAATCTAATAGAATTCTTTGAGGGGGTCAACAAGCATGTGGACAAGGGGGATCCAGTGGATATAGTGTACTTAGATTTTCAGAAAGCCTTTGACAAGGTCCCTCACCAAAGGCTCTTAAGCAGTCATGAGATAGGAGGGAAGGTTCTCTCGTGGACTGGTAACTGGTTAAGAGGTAGGAAATGAAGGGTAGGAATAAATGGTCAGTTTTCAGAATGGAGAGAGGTAAATAGTGGTGTCCCCCAGGGTTCTGTATGGGGACCAGTCCTATTCAACATATTCATAATGATATGGAAAATGGGGTAAACAGTCAGGTGGCAAAATTTGCAGATGATACAAAACTACTCATGATAGTTAAGTCCCAGGCAGACTGCGAAGAGCTACAAAGGGATCTCACAAAACTGGATGACTGTGCAACAAAATGGCAGATGAAATTCAATGTTGATAAATGCAAAGTAATGCACATTGGAAAACATAATCCCAACTACACATATAAAATGATGAGGTCTAAATTAACTCTTACCACTCAAGAAAGAGATCTTGGAGTCATTGTGGATAGTTCTCTGAAAACATCCACTCAATGTGCAGCGGCAGTCAAAAAAGCGAACAGAATATTGGGAATTATTAAAAAAGGGATATATAATAAGACAGAAAATATCATATTGCCTCTATATAAATCCATGGTATGCCCACATCTTGAATACTGCGTGTAGATGTGGTCGCCCCGTCTCAAAAAAGATATTGGACTTGGAAAAGGTTCAGAAAAGGGCAACAAAAATGATTAGGGGTATGGAATGGCTGCCGTATGAGGAGAGATTAGTAAGACTGGGACTTCTTAGCTTGGAAAAGAGATGACTAAGGGGGGATATGATAGAGGTCTATAAAATCATGACTGGTGTGAAGGAAGTAAATAAGGAAGTGTTATTTACTCCTTCTCGTAACACCAGAACTAGGGGCTACCAAATGAAATTAATAGGCAGCAGGTTGAAAACAAACAAAAGGAAGTATTTTTTCACATTACGCACAGTCAACCTGTGGAACTCCTTGCCAGAGGATGTTGTGAAGGCCAAGACTATAACAGGGTTCAAAAAAGAACTAGATAAATTCATGAAGGATAGGTCCATCAATGGCTATTAGCCTGGATGTGCAGGGATGGTGTCCCTAGCCTCTGTTAGCTGGGAGTGGGTGACGGGGATAGATCACTTGATGATTGCCTGTTCTGTTTGTTCCCTCTGGGGCACCTGGCATTGACCACTGTCGCAGGACAGAATGCTGGGTTTGATGGACCTTTGGTCTGACCCAGTATGGTCGTTCTTATGTTCTTATTGCTGTGGCCTCAGAGAAAGGCACATCATTTGGCCCATTAATAATTTAATCAGGGGAAGTACTATTTCTTTGAACAGTATGGAGACAGAAGGAATTTGCCAGTTATTTGGGGGGATATAAATACATAGGAGTGGACACTGCTTGGAAGTATAGTTGTTTACTGAATATACACATCTTACACACAGAGTTGAATATATTGAGCATTAAGCAGGAAAAAAAATCATACATACTGTGTACAGTAGCCTCAGTTTCAAAAGGACCGGAAATTCTTGTCTGGTCAACTCCTGCTATGAGACTGCAATGCTAACACATGGATTACTAAATGTTAGAAAGACAATATTGATTAGGGCTTAAGGACGTTAGGACTTATAACTACAGCAACCCAGCTAAAGTTCATTAAGTGTAAGCAAGTCAGGAAGGGCATTCTGGGCATTCTATTGCCAAGAGAAGTAGTAGTAGTTCTATTGCTTGAGGTTTAAAACTATACTGCAGCTTCCAATCCAGCACTGGCGGGGTCATAGACTAGATGAGCTAAGTGGTTTTTTCCAGTTTTAGTTTTGATAATTCCATGTCCATATTAATTAAAATATCCTACCCTATACACTACTCTTTTAAAAAGAAATCCAGTTCACTATGCTTTGCTCCACTTCAACATATTGCAAGAAACACGGAACTGGAAAAAGCTGGCTTTATATGAAAAGAGAGTATAACAGAGTTTCTTACCAGAAGGCTCCACCATATACCTCTAGACAGGCCTAATACAGGCTAAGCACTGCCACCTTGTGGATAAATATATACACTCACACTACATTCATTTCTGGGAGGAGACTGAATCTAGTTTGCAGATTTGTAACCCTGTTGTTCCCAGTAAAAAGAACAGGAGTACTTGTGGCACCTTAGAGACTAACAAATTTATTTGAGCATAAGCTTTCGTGGGCTACAGCCCACTTCATCGGATGCATAGAATGGAACATATGGTATGGAGATATATATACACATACAGAGAACATGAAAAGGTGGGAGTTGCCCTACCAACTCTAAGAGGCTAATTAATTAAGATGAGCAATGATTCCCAGGTTATTACAGAGACAATGGGGGTGAGGGAGTATCTTTTACTGCCTGGATCAACTTCAGTTGGTGAATCGGATGTCTTCCAGAAAAATAAAAAATTAAGTTCTAAGAAGGTGGCAACGACCCCTTTAGCCCCAATCCTGCAATGAACTTTCGTTTTTTAAAAACATTTTTTTACTCAAATTTAACAGGTTCATTCTCAGCTCAGGAATGAATTGATCATTTATTTGGAAATATTTGTAGGCAAAACGGTTGAGTAGTTTTCAAAAACGAAGAGAGCAAAATAAATTCCTTAAAGTTTGTGAGGCACTTGGCTGCTCTGGCCATGGGGGAACTGGAGAAATAATGGGGCATGGGGAAGTCTATGAATTAAATAATCAAATTCACAGCATTGCACGGTGCAGTTCTGCGCACTGGGTCAGGCCAGGGCAAGTAGTTTGCAGGGAAAGGCCCTGACCCTGCAATGGGCTCCACGTGCTTTGGCTCCTCCCTGGGCCTTGGGGACAGTCTGTCTCCCCCCGCCACCGTCATAAAACCGCTAAGAAAGCGCAGGTTCAAATTCCAGCCTCCACATACACACACAGGATTACGGTACGGAACCAGCTGCTACAGGTCGCCCTGACGCAGGGGACGGGGCGTGGCCGTGGGCCGCGTCACCGCCTCCGGTCCTGCCACTCAGGGCCCGGCTTTTCCGTTCGCGCGCTAGCCCCCGTGCCCAATGGGACTCAGGCTTTCGTGGGTAGGGAAAAGGCGAAAGGTCAGGGCGCCCTCCCGGAAGTGGAGGCACGGACGTCACTTCCTGCTTTTCTTTTAGACTCCCGCGGGCACACGTGCGGCCCTGCGAGTAATTTTTGGTTTTACCGCTGCCTTGTGCCAGGCCGCGTTACCATGGTGAGGGGGGCGCTGCCGCGAGGGGGAGGGTTGGGGGCGTCAACGGGGGCGCTCTGGGGCGGGTGGGGTGAGGGGTGGTAGGTAACGGGGTTGGGGGCTGTTCGGGAGCCGGGCCCCTCGCCCTGACCCCGCTGTTGTGGTGACGTTGCGCCCCGCAGAGCTTGCCCCTGAACCCCAAGCCCTTCCTGAACGGGCTGACGGGGAAGCCGGTGATGGTGAAGCTGAAGTGGGGGATGGAGTACAAGGGCTACCTGGTGTCTGTCGACGGCTACATGAACATGCAGGTCAGTGGGAGCCGGGACGCGGCCGCCCTGGGGATGCCCCAAGGGCTGCGGGGTGGGGTGGGGGGCTGTTCAGGAGGGACGGGGGGCCCCAGAGCGGGTGGGGGGAGGGTCAAAGCTGGGTGTGTATCAGGGTTCAGAGGGGACCCAGAGGTGGGTGGGGGGTGTCTGTGTGTCATGGTTGTTCAGAGGGGATGGGGGTCCCACAGGTGGTGGGCGGGACAGGGTTATCCAGGGGAGCTCATAACGGGGGAGTGACTTGCCTGGTATCAAATAAGTCATCTGACAGATAGGCAGGGAGCCCACTGCTCCTGCTCTTGCTTAGCCCTGTGCGGAGTTACCCACTCCTGCAGTGCAACGAAGCAGCAGACTTGTCCAAGATGAAGGTAAGATTGGATCGAGAACTGATTAAAAAGGCTATACAAGAACTGATTATTATTAGTAGTAGGAGTAATTACTGCTTTGATGCCTGATGGCAAACATAATTTCCTCAAAAGTACACTTACAGGAAGTTTAAAAGCAATAGTTCTAAAGCAGTAGACAATATTTGGCTATATATTAGACACTTCTGGTCAAATTCTTAAATGAAAAGTGAAACATAATAAGTTACATGCATAATAAAATGAAGCGCTCTAATGAGGTACAAGTTACTATTGAACAGACCCAGTCTCCAAAAGGGTCCATTAACCCTTGTAGAGTGACTTTAGCCTTACAATAGTTTACTGATTGCTGGCTGAGAATTTTCTTCAAACATTTGTGCTAATATTTTCTTCCTTTTCTAAAAGCTTGCAAACACAGAAGAATACATAGATGGTGCATTGTCAGGACACCTTGGTGAAGTTTTGATAAGGTAATTATGAAATTAGAGTATTTCATAAGCTACAAATGTATTATGTCTACTATGTAAATGGTCATAACTGTTCAACTCCTAATACTCAGCCTATAACAATCTGAAAACTTGCAATGTTAAAGACATTAATTGTAGTATCCATTTCTATGCTAAACGGTCCCAGACAACACTTTGTTAATATAGATTTTAGTGTAATCCTTTATTGGGGGAGGGGGAAAGTAACACTAAAATCCACAAATGTTTCATAATTTCTCCTTTTGTAATGATGTCTTTCATTAGTTCTCTGGATTCTTATTGGATATGTATATGAATCTCTTGTCAATAGCTGAGGAAAATCTCACGCCTATTCAGGAAGTTAAATAGGCACTGAACAGTTTCACAGAAATGAAGGGTCCCTAAATAGGGAGAGGTATCAGGAGGTGGCAGAGACCTCAATGAGTGTATGTGTGTGTGAGGGGGAGGAATTTCAACAGAGTACTAATAAACTATTACATATATATTAAGGCCCGGCTCCTGCAAACACTAATGTGCTTGAAGTTAAGCATGGGCATAAGTTTATAGGATATGGGCCTAAAAATAAATTAGTCGAGTGTACAATGAATGTCATTCTTTTAATAACTTATTTTCTCTGTTATAATGGACAGCTACAAAATGAACCATCTGAAAAGCCCTTGGACTGTGGGATCACCATCCACATATGTTAATTGGTTGGCCTGATAAACTTGATGTTTGGAGGTTTTTTTAAGTAGTTGGTCCAAGTTGAATTTGGAAAACATGTAACTTAGTTAAAAGCTAATGTTCATCTGGGGAAAGTCAACAAAAACGTTTAAAATTAAGAGAACTTCTGGTTCTATTTACAGATGTAACAACGTCCTGTACATCAGAGGAGTAGAAGAAGAAGAAGAAGATGGAGAAATGAGAGAATAAGTTTGTATATTTCTGGAAAATAAAGATCAGTTTTTCACAACTTTTGTTAAGGAGTCAAGTTTTACTGTACAAATTTCTATAAAATTCATAACTTGTTCGTTTGTTTAGTGTATTATCGTACAGAGGGAAACTTTGAACTATATAAACATATTTAATTTAAAGTCAAACTTTTTAAAGGTTGTTGCAAGATTAATGCTAGAGAGGAAATCTTTCGGTCTGAAACTGAAATAAGATTACATAGTTGATGGGATGAAATGACATTTTAAAATACTAATATGTATTACTATTATTATTTATTCTATTCTTAAAGGTGAACTCTTGCATCTAAGTGGCTTCCCATGGTAAACTTTATCTTTAAAGTTGTGCATATCAACAGGATTGTGGCATATCATTTTATGTAACAAAGGGTGTCCTATCTCTTTCATTGCACTGCAGTCATATTATAGAGCAGCTCAAAAGTCCATGAGGATTTTTTTTTACTGTTGCAAACAGCTGTCTTTCTAAGCTGACTACACTGGAGTGTACTGAAGGAATTGTGGGAATGGCATTTTTCTCTGCTGATAGGGGTAATAGGTGTAACAGAATGATCAGTGAAGACATTCTGGGCTTTTTCACATCTGATGTACAAAGTAGGTTTACTACTTACACTAAGGATCCCTGCATGTTAGTGATAACTCCTCTTTGTAAGTTCTGTTAAACTACAGTACAGAATATTAATCTTTTGCTCTAGATGAACTAAGTAGGAAGATACACCTACAACACTGTAACACCGCCTTTAAGGAGCTACAACTACTTTTAAACTCAAGTGAAAAATAACATGTCGTCTTGCATTTTTGTGTTGATCTCTTTCAGGCACACCTCCTCCCGTCTAATCTCTGGAGGCTGTGAGCGAAATACCAGTTTTCTTCCCATCTGAAATGTTGGAAAAGGAAAATGTTGAACACAAACGTATACATCTATGGAGACTCATATTTTTATCATAAATTCTATTAATAGACTATATAGGGCTGCATTGTGAAATACTTCCACAGCTCCGTGTTGGGTGTGGAGTTACATTATGCCCCAATGATTCCAAGAGTCATTTTGCCCTGAAGTAGTCAAAGCCTCCTGAAGTTTGGCTGCTGTATTACCTATAGAGAAAATATGGCCTCAGTGGCTGAATGGTGACATAATGGTGATAATCCTCAGCTGTTGTACATTTGCATAGTTCCATTGAAGTCAATGGAGCTATGGCAATTTAAAGCAGGTGAGGTTCTCTCCCAAGGTCTCCTGGCTATGCGTAGGTCTGGCACAGCATAGCCTTAGTCTGGCTTAAGAATATAACTAGACTTAAAAATTTTAAAAGAATAAAACTGTTAGTTGATGGTTGGGGTTTCGTTTATTTAAAAAAAAAAAAAGTCGTCAGCCCAGATGTGCATCTGGGCTGAAGTTCACAGCTGCTTTGCTGTTATCACAGCTAAAGACCATGACCCTTCTGAGGCTGTGATGGCACATTACATCTAAGAGTGTAAACCCCTATGGATTTAGTTCAGAATGGCAAAGTACAAACCAGAACTAAACTGCTGGGGGTGTTAGTGGAGTATGACAAGAATTAGAGGAGAGAAGGGTGTGTGAATGCACAGACTGTCCAAAACTGGAGCACATAACAAGCTATAAGCACCAGCTAGTTGCACAGGAATGAGAATTTTGAGTGGCTTAGTGCTGGGATGGCTCCTTCCCATGGCAGTACCATCAATATGTGGCACTTACTACCTTCTCTTTGATATGGCAGTATGCTGCCTTTTATTCTACCATTTACATATGCATTAATGATCATTTCCTAGCATGGGTCCCAGCCTGAGGCTATGGAAAGGCTTCCTTTCCCCACTCTGGAAGAATCACCTCCCAATTCTAGTTTGTCAGCAGGCCTGACAGTACTGCTGTTAACAAGATTAGAGGTAGAGAACAGAGAGAAATTGGAATCTACCACCGTCACTTTTCAAAACTTGTATTAATCTACACTCTGTAAAAGACTAAAAACACCCAGCTTTAACTATCATATGTCTGAAAGTTTTACCTACTTTTATTATATGCCACCTAAAACAACTCACTGAAACATTAGAAATTACCTGTTCTTCAGTTTACTCTAATAACTTGCACTGCTTCTGTCATAATCAATTAAGGCTGGATCTTACCAACACACATATGCATAATTTTACGTGTAGGTGTTACCCATGTACACAAGCATTTGCAGTACCTTAGCTTGCCCGTGAAACTCAATTTTCAAAATAGAAAAACATGCCTGCAATACCCCAGCATAAGTAGAGCACTCACAGCTATTACATCTGCCTAATTTAAAAAACAAGACTATGCTTCAAATTGTGTCTCTCTGAGGTTGAGATAAAATCAGACAATCTGGAAACTGCCCAGGTTTTTACATATTAATAGAGGGTCACATTAAATTCTCACACAACCCTGACAATGTGACACTGTATAACAAAGTGAAAATTAATTACACTTATATAATCTTAGATGTGTAATTAGTCTTACTGCATTTGCTTCATTATATAATTAAGATGCATCTTAATATATACAGTCAGAGGGAAGAAATAAGGTTGGGGTGATAATGTTCACTCAGTTTTCTGATTTTACACTGTTTTTTGACTGTAATTGAACAGATACACAACTCATTCTACATTTACAGGCCTACTCAGTTTGAGTAATGATGTTAGCAGAATGCAGAGTAGTACTAGCATCCAGAAACTATTAACCAGATAGTATTGTACATTTTATATATTGCAGTTGAGGCCATGGAAACAGTTCAAGTATCACCCTCTTGAAATGCGAATTCTCTGCTGATTTCTAACTGCTAATGATGTGACCTCTTAATTAAATAAAAGGACCTTGAACTGGATTATACCTTAAATTTCCCTCAACCACTTTCAAGTACTATTTTACTGAAATATTCAATTAGTTACTATTCAAAATAAGGGCTAGATATTTTCACTTAATCCACTAATTGGCTGCTTGCATATTTTAGTGCTTTATAATTGAGTTTTCACCAAATACTAGTTAGCTCTTATTCAAAAAGGCCTGTCTGATGTCAAATAAAAAATGACAGTGGATTAACTATTTTTAGTGATCTACTACTGCAAATTTTGTAAATTTATTTAAAAGAATAGGCTAATGATCGGTGGTGTTTTATGTTTTAGTCATAACTACATGCAAATTTCTCTCCTGCATAGGAAAAGTAAAGCTAATCCTAATATTTAACTTTAAAAGTGCTATAAAGGGACAGGATTTTTATTAAGAAAAATACACATGGTCTCAGACTCTTCAGAAAAAATAAACTAAATGCAAACCTTCTTCTTTGGTGCTGCAGTTGCTCTTTTCAGAGAACACTGCAGTCGTTCTTCCTGAAGTTTTGTTTCTTGTTTCTTTTTTTCTTCACGTAACCTGCAATGGCGAAAAATGAAATTTGCTAGTGACTCATAAGCTATTAATAGGAACAAAAAGGTCTGAAACTGTAAAACAAACTCTTTGCTTCTTTAAATTTAATTTTGGAGGCAACAAACAGTAGTTAGTTAATTATCTTGGTTCAAGGAAGGTGTTTTCCTGAACTACCAGCAAAATGACTAAGGAGAATGAAGTGGGGCAGACTTGCAGATTAGAATTTTTTTAAAATAATCTGGGATCCTATATAGCTTCTTGTTTTTTTACTAGAGTAATATTACTGTTTCAGATATCACGTGGGATGAGCTGTCCAGGAATTTGATGGAAGCAAAGCTTATTTCTTATAAAAGGGCATCATGTCTAACTTGCAGAGCAGCAGAGAAGAAAAGGGTACCATGATGTTATTTTCACATAAGGCAGTCGTTGCCTTTAAATTTTTTTTTCTCTTTAAGACTTTTTTTTTTTTTTTTTTTTAAAACATTTCTTTTTTTTTTTTTTTTTATTTTTTTCTCAAAAGTTTTGTGATGTTGGTCCTAATCAGCACTCAGCTGGGACACTTCTAAACAACAACTGCATGACATAGAAGTGGTTTGCACAGGATGAGACACTCCTTTCTCTCCATCTAAATTGAACTAACGCCACAGACTGGTGAGAAGGGGTATTGTGCTGCTGGAATTGCTGCTTTTGGAGACATAATGCATGACCACAATCCGTGAGGACCTTAACATTCTCATGGGACTTTTTTGCAAAACAGAAATTAGCCAAACACTGACCTATCCAAATCCGAGCATGGGTAATCACACTGACATTTCAAAAGGAACTTAAGTAGTGCACCGTTAGATAGCTGCCATATTCTACCCCAGAAATGACTATACATGTGTATAACTAATAGGTTCCAAATACTTTAGGAACTATTGCTGAAATCATTTTATCTGCTTCTAGGATGAAACACAGTAGCAGTTTCACAGGGCACAGTGACATTATTTAGGTTAGAACAGGAAGCAAATACTAACATATCCTCTTGAAACTGCAAGGTATGTCGCAAGGGGATGGGAAGGCAGGAGGCAGATACAATATAGTTACCCAAATTGGGCTTTGGTCAGAACTAGCTAACTTTCTTTTATCTCTTCAAAAAGGGCTACAAAATCTTTACTGCATGTGCTCAGGTGTGGGGTTTTATGTTTTCTCTGAAAGATGGCACATCCATCCAAAAGTACAATCTGTCCCTTCACATCATGCTGGGGTATTAGTTTAGTAATGACTCAGAATAAAGAATGGCCTTCCAGCTACATTACTCTCCTTTTTTTTCCAGGCATACTCTTTTGATGCTGTGTGCTTTATTTATTTTCTGTGGTGGGTGTACAGTAGACTGCAAACCATAACTTACCAAATGTACGATATTAGGAGAAAACAAAGAGGCTTTACAAAATTCTGGTCACTAATGTAGCTAATGGACAAAAAGTTTTGTATACAGTACTATTTAAGTATCTCATATGCTGATAAATCCCATAAGGGGGCAGTACAGTACAACTATTCACTATATTAGACATCACACCATAGTGTTAATGCAAAAGTGTCACTTAAAAACAAAATGGTGACTTTGCAACAATGTAGTGGAATCCTTAATTATTGCTAAAACAAACCAACCCATGAACTCAAGTTTACTCACTTCACAACAGGCTGCCATGTAGAGAATCAAAGCTCTAGCCCCACATTTAAGCTCTGATCCTGCAAACCCCTATGCATGTCCTATGAAGAAGTTCTTAAATTACCAGGAATGATCATGCAACCTCTCTCCTCAAAAGAGCAAACCAACTTTTGAAAGAATTGAAACCATTCGAAAAAATTACCACAGTAACAAAATGAGCTACTGGAGGTAAACTACCTGCATTACATCAGATACGTTTGTTCTGAACTTTCATACAAAACTCCTTAAATTTGTAATAATTTTTTGGTGACCAGACGTGATTGTCAAGGCAGGAACATAATATGCCTGCCAGGTCTTTTATCTCTGTTTTTGCTGGGTAATTTAACACAAGGACAAAGCTCGCTGTAACTGCCTTGACATTTATTTAACTTTGGAATTCAGCTAAAACAGATGCCAGTTTCTTTTCCCAGATAACTACTGCCTTATGGCATCTTGTGGTGTCACACAATAGCAGTAACTTTATTAATTGTCATATTATCTATGCTCCCACACCCCAAGTCAATGCAATTAGCACTGCTGTAATTGCTACACAAATACTATGTCTTGTTCTGGTGTCCACATTTCAAGAAGGATGTTGAAAAATTGGAGAAGGCTCAGAGAAGAGCCCTGAGAATGCTTAAAGGATTAAAAATCATGCCTTACATTACAGCAATAGACTCAAGGAGCTCAATCTATTTAGCTTAACAAAGAGAAGGTTAAGGGGTGATTTGATTACAATCTATATGTACCTGAATGGAAAGCAAATAGTTAATAATGGGCTCTTCAGTCTAGCAGAGAAAGGTCTAACGTGATCCAAGGGCTGGAAGTTGAAGC